TTATTATTATTATTATTATTATTATTATTTGCTTTTGTTGTTTGCAGTGCTGGGGATTGAATCCAAGCCCTTGTGCATGCCAGGCAAGCACTCTACCACTTAACTCCACAGCTCAGTGTATGTTTTTGTTTTTTTTAATAATACCTTTATTTATTTATTTTTAATGTGGTGCTGGATATTGAACCCAGTGCCTCATACATGCTAGGCATGYGCTCTACCACTGAGCCACAACCTCAGCCCCTGTGTATGTGTTTTAACATTGATAAGTCACATATTTAATCTTTTCTCTTTTTTTGGGGGGGGTGGGGAGAGCGTACTGGAGATTTAACTCAGGGGCACTTGACCACTGAGCCACATCCCCAGCCCTATTTTTTTTAAATATTTATTTTTTTAGTTGTATTTGGACACAATACCTTTATTTTATTTATTTTTATGTGGTATTGAGGATAGAAACCAGGGCTTTGCACATGCGAGGTGAGTGCTCTAGTGTTGAGCCACAACTCCAGCAGCCCCCAGTCCTATTTTTGTATTTTATTTAGAGACAGGGTCTCACTGAGTTGCTTAGCAATTCACTTTTGCTGAGGCTGACTTTGAACTCACAATCCACCTGTCTCAGCCTCCTGAGCTACTGGGATTAGAGGTGTACACCACCGTGCCTGGCAATTTTCCTTATCCTTATTTTAAAAAAAAAGTATTTGCAATGCTGGGTATAGAACCTAGGACCTCATGTATGCTAGGCAAGTGCTCTACCACTGGGCTACACCCCATATCCCATTTAGTCAGTTTTATATTTGTCTTTTTCACATTACTTCATAAGCATTTTTCCATGTGAAACTCTTCAAATATATTTTAATGACTGAAAAACAATCCATAATATATATTCGTACAGATTTCTGACAAGTCATAATTTACTTTAGAAGTCCCTTGACTATATATTAAAGCAGACTATAATTTTTACCATAAAAAATGTTACAATAAAAACATTTATGCTTAAATCTCTACAAAGATTATAGATTTTCCTTAGGATAGATTTTTTTTWAAATAATTAAGAAGACAAAGGATAAGATATTTTCAAGACTCTTGATACATGTTCTATAGACAACTTGTAATTCTTGACATTTAAAATTTTTCTATCAGCAGTTTAATGTTCCAGGAATACCAACTAATGCTAATATTCAAGAGGGAAAAACTACAATGGTAAACTTTTTACAAAAAAAGGGGTGAGAGTGCAGAATATTAGACATTCTGATGTTTATTTCTGGGGTACATCGATGGTGAGGATTGCATTTGTTGTGTGTAACTGTTAATGCTCAAGCACCCTTCTACTTCACCAGATTATCCCAGGATTTGTCGAACAGCCTACACTGCTGCATGGTTGTTTCACTTGCTCTTTGACTTCTCTGTTTGGTGGATTCAAACAGGACTG